GCGTGCGTGCGTGCGTGCGTGCGTGCGTGCGTGCGTGCGTGCGTGCGTGCGTGCGGCGTGCGTGCGTGCGTGCGTGCGTGGTTGCGTGGTTGCGTGCGTGCGTGCGTGCGTGGGTGCGTGGGTGCGTGGGTGCGTGGGTGCGTGGGTGCGTGGGTGCGTGGGTGCGTGGGTGCGTGGGTGCGTGGGTGCGTGCGTGCGTGGGTGCGTGCGTGCGTGCGTGCGTGCGTGCGTGCGCGCGTGCGTGCGAGCGTGCGTGCGTGCGTGCGTGCGTGCGTGCGTGCGTGCGTGCGTGCGCGCGCGTGCGTGCGTGCGTGCGTGCGTGCGTGCGTGCGAGCGTGCGTGCGTGCGTGCGTGCGTGCGTGCGTGCGTGCGTGCGTGCGTTGCTGCGTGCGTGCCGTGCGGCGCGCGTGCGTGCGTGCCGTGCGGTGCGTCGTGCTTGCGTGCGTGCGTGCGTGAGTGCGTGCGTAGCGTGCGTGCGTGCGTGCGTGCGTGCGTGCGCGTGGCGTGCGTGGCGTGCGTGCGTGCTTGCGTGCCGTGCGTGCTGCCGTGCTGCGTGCGTGCGTGCGTGCGTGCGTGCGTGCGTGCGTGCGTGCGTGCGTGCGTGCGTGCGTGCGTGCGTGCGTGCGTGCGTGCGTGGGTGGGTGGGTGGGTGGGTGGGTGGGTGGGTGGGTGGGTGGGTGGGTGGGTGGGTGGGTGTGTGTGTGTGTGTGTGTGTGTGTGGGCGTGCATTTAGGTCTGAGTGTTGCCCCATGCGTCGATGATGCTTGATGATGCTTGTTGCCTGTGCTTGAAGGTGCTGGAAAAACACGGTAATGTCTAATATTCGCCGGGAACAACAGCGGACACATAGCCGACGTTCAGGCTTTACCCTGAGCGGGCATGGTTGGGGACGCGCGCAATGTGCTGCTTGCCACATGGGTTTTCTCATCGGGGCCCCTCCTTCCGCGCGGATCCCAAGCCTCAAATGTCGCCGCGATGCCAAAGTCGATGATCTTGAGGGTGTTGTCTCGCCGCGAATCCCGTTCCAAAAAGGCTGTGCACTCAAAGCCTCCAAACCATTCCAAACCTGAAGATAGGGAACACACCCAACCAAAAAAGATGTTACTGCACTTAAATCCAACCAGGTACTTCTAACGTCCGTAAGCTCATACGCATATGGGCCCCTCTATTTGCCAAGGCTTCTCTCCTGTTGCTGTTCCTTGGCTGTGCTTACGGTGTATTTAAAGGATTTGTGGCTTAGTGAGTTCTCAAGTTGCGGTTGACCATCCAAAAAGGCCCCCCCAAACAAGAAATGCCAAGGCTTTTCACCTCTTCTTCTTTCTCCCCCTCTCAACCCCGAAGCCCCTCCCCCTCCACCCCGCCACCCGCCACCTCTCCACCCCAGCCCCGCGCCTTTCACCGGGGCCTTCTTCAGGAAGAGGAAGTTCTCCGGCTTGAGGTCCCGGTGGCACACCCCGTTCTGAGCGCTCCGAGCGCATCGAGTCTCAATGGATGCGCGGAGGGGCCAAGGAGACACGAGGAATTTGTGTTTGTGCCTGTCAACCGAGGTTGAAATCCCCGGATCCGGAATTCATTTCCCAAAGAAAGTTGTTCATGCTGAGACATCTGGCTCGTCCTTCTTCTTCTTTGGCAAAAGGGAAACCGAGAGGAAAACCACCTTTTGCGGGGTGCCCGAAAAAAGGACGAGCCACCCATCTGATCCCGTTCAAAGAACGGGTTCTGCTGTTGGGGACGGAGGGGCCCCTTGCAAATTCCTTGAACTGTCCTCTTGGCGGGTTTGCCTCCAACCAAACGTCTTTCCACGATCTGAGGTCACGTCTTTGCCCAACCATTTACAAAAATCACGCCGCGCAACCAGCTGCTTCAAGCAAGGCAGAGAAAAGCCCGGGCAAGAGGAATAAGGTTCGTAAAGTATGAACCACACCACATCGGTCATGCAGCCGTCCAGAACACGGCAGCCTGTCCCACCCAGAGATGCAAACGAAGCCCCGGAAACGCAATGGATGACAACAAGGTGGATGGGGTCGGGCCAGGGCAGTTTTGACCAAGGAGGCCTAAGGAGGCTCTTCCTTGAAACGGCACCCGAAAGGATGCATGCTGCTGATGCGGCCCCAAGGCTGGTGCGCCCCAAACTTAAGGCACTTGAATATCCTCCTCTTTCCGCGACTGAAGGTCGCTGCACAAGCTCTGGACTGGAAAAGCCTTCCCTCCAGCCGTTTTCAAATGCATTTTCTCTTGCCTCATGCAAGTAGACCAGCGCTCTGAAGATCTGCTGCATGATGATGGCCTCGCGATTTTGGCTAGTAACCCCCAGACGTACCAAGTTGCCCCTCTCTCAATTTGAGGGGGTGGCTCAAAACAGGGGTGTGTCCCCGCCCTCTCCTTGTTGCAGGTTCCCTTCGCCTCAAAACAAAACACACCCAAATCTCCAAGTGTTCAGAGTTCAGCGGTCCAAAACGACCATTTGGCCCATCTCCGACGGCTTTCGACACTTGGGGCCCCGACGGCGTCCGACTCGGACATCCTGCCCTGGACCATACTGTGTTCGTTGAAAAAAGGTAAGTCGTTGGAAACCGTTCGTTCAGTGGTAACCCGCATACAAGTCGAAAGCTGCCTTCCAGAGGTAGGTAGGTAGGTAGGTAGGTAGGTAGGTAAGTAGGTAGGTAGGTAGGTAGGTAGGTGGGTAGGTAGGTAGGTAGGTGGGTAGGTGGGTGGGTAGATAGACGAATGGATGAATGAGTTGGTTCAAGTGGAGTTAACCTTGTTCGTAGGTTGAAACAGGGGGCGAACCACTTACTAACTTGGTGAATCCAACATCCAAGTGCCACACGTAATGACAAGGTAACAGGGTCAGCATCTTTGTTTGGGAAACAATAGGGTAACAAAATGGTCCGGCACCCGAAAGAGGCTTCCTCCACAAACGGCGTTTGGGTTCCATGGGTTTTTGTGGCTGGGGGGTAATAAGGACAACACTCAGGTAACCAACACACTGGCAAACTTGGAACTAGTCTTTGGCCACCATGGTCAAGCAGTTCCCAATACACGGGAGCCAACTACATCCAACCACAACAAATCTTAACCTGCCGGAAATCATGGGCAACTACACAGAAATCAGTTGGAATGGGAAACTCTTTGGCGCACAACAGTGAGGATTTAGGCCCGCCAACTGCATCCTTGGGTGCTTTCCAAATATAAAATATCACAGCCATGTGGAAAGCGCACATGTGGGCCACCTCACCCGTGGCTTCACCGTGGTTGATCCCTGTGAAATTTGGTCTCAACAGCCTCATGTGCCATGGTCAAAACTCCCTACGTGGGTCCTGGTGATGGTTGAACGATTGTCTCAATCAAAGGGTTGACCACCAATTCCAAGAGTATTTTGACCTAAAGGCTTGATACATATCCTCACGTCACCTCAAGCCAAGCCTTATGAAACATCCCCGAACCTGGTCCAGGATGGCGTCAAAGAGCTCCCCTCCCTCACAGCACCTGAAATAACCAAAGCGGCCCGACCGGAGAACTCCCCTGCGTTTTGATGCCTGGGTATCCTTTGGGCCCTTTTTCTTTCTTTTTTTCGGTGTCATTTTGGTTTCAGGTTGAAGGTCCTACATCATTTGGTTGTGGCTCAAAAAACCGGTACCAAAATGGGTTGCCCTGGTAAGTGGAAACATGGACCAAAACCTGCGTAACCCCTCCTGTTTAATTTTGAGCCACAGCCATTTGTGTGTCATTTCGGGTGTCCCTTGGCTTCCTTCTGGCTTCCTTCTGCCTTGCTTTTGGCTGCTTCTTGCCGCCACTGGCTTCCTTTTGGTCTCCTGTTCGATTTTTCTGGGGTGTCCTTTCGGATTCTCCTGTGGGTGTCCTTTGGATTTCCTTACCCCCACCGAAATTGTGGGTCCTCGATTTCAAGACAGTCACAGGGCCGTACGCGAGAACAGGCTGCCTGGAGCCTCAACTAAGCTCTGGACTCCATGATAAGGTAGATCTGCTTGACATCCTCAAAAGATTGGTACACCTTGATGATGTTCCTTAGCCGCTTGACCGCCTCCAGGCCCCAAAAATGGAGGCGGTGTCCCTCTGAACTCCCCCAAAAAGGTTAGCCTCAACACACAGCTCTCGTTTAGGGGAACCTGGGCAAAGGTACCTGGCATCCGTCCGAGGGCCGGGCGGGTGGTCCAGTGCGAACATAGTCTGGATCTCTCGCTGTAGTCTGGGACAAAGGGTCAACTCCAAGGCCAAAACGCGATCCCTACTGCCACACGCCCCACCAAAAAGCCCAAGCGGACACCCAGAAAAGCAGCAGATTGACTTATGGCTTCCCTTTTTGGTCAATTGATATACCCAAATTCTTGCAAAAGCCGCCCAGTAAGCTCCCCTTGCCTGAGCCACACAAGCAACGGCCAACGGGTTCCCGACACGGCCTCTCTTGATGTGGCACCCGCTGCTTTACAATGATCTTCAGCGCCTGGTATCCGCGCGGATCGCTGGATCTCTGGATAGCAAGCGAACAACCGCCACTGTGTCTTGAGAAGCTTCCGCCAGTGCCACAAAAGCCACACCACTGTTCTTCGCAGTTGCGCGACCTTGGCTGAGCACAGCCTTGCCCTCACTGAGTGCTCGCAAGGCTGGATCTTAAGCTAAGGCCCCCACATACTTTGGCAAAGCCACCCTCCCCCAAAATATCCCTGGAATGCACGTTCCACGCGCGAGCTTGCAAGTACTGCAAGTACTGCAAGTGCATTGATTTTGACGTTTGCCAGTCACTGTGCGCGGACAGCCAGTAAGAAACAAGCGATTCATCAAAGTTGAAGTACTCGTGAACGTCCTGCCAAACTGGACCGGCACAGCCATCCAGCATGCACACGCGCTCTGGTTTGAGGCGAGCTTGAGAGCAAATCCAGTCACAAAAGCCGGGGCTCCCCTACAAGCTCTTCAGACCCGCTCCAGCGCCGATTTGTTCATATTCTCTTCAAAACAACTATCACAGTGGATGGTGTCCTTGTGAAGTCCCATAACCAACCAAGGATTACCGAACCAAAATGCAACCCTCAAAAACACCATCTGGCACCTTTGCACCTGCTTCAAGCCAAGGAATCGCCCACGTCCTTACCGGAATTCTCCACGAAGAAGACCTCGCACGACCCAAAAAACGAACCATCCGGTCAAAACTCCTTCGAACTGCGGGAGTCCCGCCTTCGGCTGAAGAGAACCACGCCGCGCCTGGTTTACTCTTCGCCCCTGATCCCCAGGAACCGTCTCAGGAAAACCAAAACAATGCTGTTCGAACATAGTGGAAGCATTGTTTAACAAGAAGTTGGCAACCTTGATCAACCTCTCGCCGGCCTCACAACAGCCATACCCCGGAAATTGGGGAGAACCAAATGAGCTCAGAGCAGCTATTTCTTTGGGAAGGAACCTCCAAATTCCCCCCCAAAACAGCCACGGCCGGTGCACCGAATCAAACCATTGGTTGAAACTGGTGTGACACCGGACTCGGATCTCTTCAAGCCCCGGGCTTTTGACTTCTCGGGTGGCGAGCAGCAGCAAAAGAACTTCAGCCTGCGTCGCCCCACGAAAGGCGTCACCCGCGTCGAATCTGCGCTGCTCTGCTTGAACTCCAAAGGTCAACTGCGATGCCTTCCGCAGCAGCCATCGGGCATGTCGCCATCTGCCGATTTCAAGCTGAAAACCAATGGGTCGGCGCATGGCACTTTCAAGTTTCAAACCGAGTACGCAAATCCGTGTGCAACAACATTGGCTCGAAAACGCACTATTGCAGCCCTCCTCAAAAACTGCTAGAAACTCAGGACCGCGCTTTCAACGGCAAGGCTGGAAGATTCCGAATCACTGTCCTGGCCAGTCGCACGGAGTCTCCAAAGCAAGTTCTCTTGAGTGACACAACTGCGGCCTCTTCAGAGTTTGAGTCGCTGCAATCCGATTCCTCCTCGTTCGGCCCGGCAAGCAACGAGCAAACACTGCAAGGCAACATGCTGGGTGAACATGCTGACCGCCACATGCCGCCTGTTTCGGCAATCCTAGCAATACATTCATCAACCGGTCAAGCTCATACAGTTGCTGACCCAGGCAGAACTGAGGCACCAGCCTTGCTTTTGCCGGCGCCCATGCTTGTTTCAAAACTCAAAATTAATCAAAGCCGCGCTATGTCAAGTCGCCACAGTGTTTCACCTCCTAGGTGTGTGTGTGTGTGGGCGTGTTTGTCTTCAATATGTTCCGAGTTGTCCTGCTTCAATAATGACTTTGCGAGCAGCGTGAACGGTATTGTGCTAACATACATGCCAAGCGTCAAATCAACTCAAAGCCAAAAAGCGGTCATCGTGATTCTGCACTTTGAGCAACAGGTTCAGGTTTGCCAGTCCTGGTTCTGGTCTTCTGGTCCGTGCAACCCAAAGCAGGCTTTCGCCATACTTAACTCGGAGTTCCCCATCCATGAAATTGACGTGACAAAAATGACTTCACTATGACGTGTCCAAGGCCTGAACACCCAACTGCAAGGCCCGTGTCACGCTTGCCCGTCTGGCATTCAAGCAACGAAATGCGGGACACAAGATTGGACTGCAGCTGGAAGACGCATGGACTAAGAGCAGAGACCAGGCACCAAGAAACCAGTCCGCGAGAATCGATCAAACCTGCACTGGTGTCACCGAGCATGGAGGGAAACAAAGGAAAGGCACAAAATAACTTGTGGCCTCCACCCTTCATCGCACCAGTATTTCGCAGGGCCAAAAAAGGAGTGCATCGCACTCGCAGTATTTCTCCAACGAAAGCTGCCTAGCCGTGGATCTGAAACGCGATCCACTCGCTGGGAGTGGAACGCTCGCAGCTCGCAATTCACTCGCTCGCAATACCCAGGCCGCAATGGCAGCGTGGCTTGCGCAATGGAAAAATCTTTCGACTAGGCTCTCGAGAGATTGCCAAAGATTCTTTAGGAAATCTGGATTAGGTGTTCGAAGACCCGCACTCCAGGCCGAATTCACTTCTAGGAGGAAAGACCTGCAGTTAACTTAAACTTACACCAGCGCAGTGTACGCTCAGGCCAGTGTACGCTCGAAATGCTATGGGCCAATGGGTGCTGTGCTCCTCGTTAGCTTCAATCCATGGAACAGTGCGCTGTAACCCCTCAACTCAACAGCTTCGTCTTCAAGGTTGCAGAGAGGCTATGGCAGAGCACTTACCACGAAAGTAGAGCGTGTGGCAACCAAGCGACTACCCTCCGCTAAGGCGGATAAGCGTCTACCGATGGTGCGCTCAGCCATAGGAGTGTCACAAACGCACAAGCTCTTTTTGATAGATCGCAGCGGCCGTCACTGCCAAGCAAGAATGACTCATCTTTGGTCACACTGGCAAACAGTCAACATCTAAAGCATGCAAAGCAACCTACAATCTGCTTGCTGGAGCACCCAGTAGCATTTTACACCGCACGTCTGCTCCCCTGCGAGCACTTGTGTTTCTCTTATCTTTGCAGAGCAGGTGTGTTTTCTCCGCGCACTTGTTTGAAGGTCAGGTTGAGTTGCCAACACAAGCTCCAGGGGACACTGTCGTCGCGCACGTTGAATCTTCAGCGCAGGCAGCTGGCTGCAAGAGAGCCAGCTCAGTCCGCCTCAAGCCTTCTGGCTGCCGAAAGCTAAAATGGCCCCAGACTCAACATCATGGTTTCTAAACAAGAATTTCCGCCCTGCAAGACTGCAAAGTGATGGGCCTTAACTCCTTTGATTCTGCGGGTTTTGAACACATGACCATGGAAATGCTCGCAATCCGGCAATGAACGCCCAGAACAAAACATGCGGCATGGCTCCAAACGAGAACCTGCAAGACTGAAAAAGCCGCTTAGTACAACACTGCCTCAAGCCTGGCTGTTTGGAAGCCAAGATGGCCCCATGAAAACACTGGGTGATGCACTCCTGCATTTTGTGGGTGCCATGGTTCTGCGCGTGCCATAATGTTGGCAGTGCTTCGCAACCCTTTGTCCACTTTGGATGCTTGCCTGGTTCTTTAACCAGTCTGCTGAAACTTGGATGCAGGCAAAACACAAGAACTCTCGCGCTCAACCCTTAGAGCCAATCCTGTTCCCGAAGTGACGGATCTGTTGCCAACTTCCCTTGCCTGCTTTTCCCTGTCGACCAAAGGCCACAAACCTTGGGACCTGATGCGGTTATGGGCACGACCAGGGTGTGAACAAGTCTGTTCTTCGGCTTTTCAAGGGCAGTAAGAACGCACCAGACACCTTGAAGGACAAGGTGCATTACCCGCGATTTTCCCCCCAGTCACCTGGTTGGTTTTCTCGTCGTAGGGATTGCCTTAAGGGCGTACCTCGCCGCAGGGGTACGCTCTGACTCGTGGTTTCCGTCTTCTGAATCTGATTGTGTGTGTGCGTTTGTGCGTTTGTGCGTTTGTGCGTTTGTGCGTTTGTGCGTTTGCGCGTTTGTGCGTTTGTGCGTTTGTGCGTTTGTGCGTTTGTGCGTTTGTGCGTTTGTGCGTTTGTGCGTATGTGCGTTTGTGCGTTTGTGCGTTTGTGCGTTTGTGCGTTTGTGCGCTTGTGCGCTTGTGCGCTTGTGCGCTTGTGCGCTTGTGCGCTTGTGCGCTTGTGCGCTTGTGCGCTTGTGCGTTTGTGCGTTTGTGCGTTTGTGCGTTTGTGCGTTTGTGCGTTTGTGCGTTTGTGCGTTTGTGCGTTTGTGCGTTTGGTGCGTTTGGTGCGTTTGGTGCGTTTGGTGCGTTTGGTGCGTTTGGTGCGTTTGGTGCGTTTGGTGCGTTTGGTGCGTTTGGTGCGTTTGGTGCGTTTGGTGCGTTTGGTGCGTTTGGTGCGTTTGGTGCGTTTGGTGGTGCGTTTGGTGCGTTTGCCGTGTGCGTTTGGTGCGTTTGGTGCGTTTGTGCGCTTGGTGGCGTTTGGTGCGTTTGGTGCTTTAATTGGTCGCTTGGTGCCTTGGCGCTGGTGCGTTGGTGCGTTTGGTGCTTTGGTGCGTTTGGTGCGTTGGTGCGTTTGGTGCGTTTGGTGCGTTTGGTGCGTTTGGTGCGTTTGGTGCGTTTGGTGCGTTTGGTGCGTTTGGTGCGTTTGGTGCGTTTGGTGCGTTTGGTGCGTTTGGTGCGTTTGGTGCGTTTGGTGCGTTTGGTGCGCTTGGTGCGTTTGGTGCGTTTGGTGCGTTTGGTGCGTTTGGTGCGGTTGGTGCGGTTGGTGCGGTTGGTGCGGTTGGTGCGTTTGGTGCGTTTGGTGCGTTGGTGCGTTGGTGCGTTGGTGCGTTGGTGCGTTGGTGCGTTTGGTGCGTTTGGTGCGTTTGGTGCGTTTGGTGCGTTTGTGCGTTTGTGCGTCTGTGCGTCTGTGCGTTTGTGCGGTTGTGCGGTTGTGCGTTTGTGCGTTTCTGCGTTTCTGCATTTCTCCGTTTCTGCGTTTCTGCGTTTCTGCGTTTCTGTGTTTCTGTGCTTCTGTGTTTCTGTGCTTCTGTGTTGCTGTCTGGGTGTCTCGGTGTCTTGGTGTCTTGGTGTCTTGGTGTCTTGGTGTCTTGGTGTCTTGGTGTCTTGGCGTCTTGGCGTCTTAACGTGCTTGGTGCGCTTGCTTGGTGTGCTTGGTGCGCTTGGCGCGCTTGGTGCGCTTTGGTGCGCTTGGTGCGCTTGGTGCGCTTGGTGCGCTTGGTGCGCTTGGCGCGCTTGGTGCGCTTGGTGCGCTTGGTGCGTTTGGTGCGTTTGGTGCGTTTGGTGCGTGTGGTGCGTGTGGTGCGTGTGGTGCGTTTGGTGCCTTTGGTGCGTTTGGTCCGCTTGGTGCGCTTGGTGCGCTTCGTGCGCTTGGTGCACTTGGTGCGCTTGGTGCGTTTGGTGCGTTTGGTGCGTTTGGTGCGTTTGGTGCGTGTGGTGCGTTTGGTGCGTTTGGCGCGCTTGGCGCGCTTGGTGCGTTTGGTGCGTTTGGTGCGTTTGGTGCGTTTGGTGCGTTTGGTGGCGCGTTTGGTGCGTTTGGTGCGTTTGGTGCGTTTGGTGCGTTTGGTGCGTTTGGTGCGTTTGGTGCGTTTGGTGCGTTTGGTGCGTTTGGTGCGTTTGGTGCGTTTGGTGCGTTTGGTGCGGTTGGTGCGGTTGGTGCGGTTGGTGCGTTTGGTGCGTTTGGTGCGTCTGGTGGGTTTGGTGGGTTTGCTGGGTTTGCTGGGTTTGGTGGGTTTGGTGGGTTTGGTGGGTTTGGTGGGTTTGGTGGGTTTGGTGGGCTTGGTGGGTTTGGCGGGTTTGGTGGGTTTGGTGGGTTTGGTGGGTTTGGTGGGTTTGGTGGGTTTGGTGGGTTTTGTGGGTTTTTGGTTTGTGTGGTTTGTGTGGTTTGTGTGATTTTGTGTGGTTTGTGTGTCTTGTGTTTTTTGTGTTTTCTGTGTTTTCTGTGTTTTGTGTGTGTTTTGTGTGTTTGTGTGTGTGTTTGTGTGTTTTGTGTGTTTTGTGTGTTTTGTGTGTTTGGTGTGTGTGGTGTGTTTGGTGCGTTTGGTGCGTTTAATGTTTGGTGTGTTTGGTGTGTTTGGTGTGTTTGGTGTGTTTGGTGGGTTTGGTGGGGTTTGGTGGGTTTGGTGCGTTTGGTGGGTTTCGTGGGTTTCGTGGGTTTGTGGGGTTTGCGGGGTTGTGGGTTTGTGGGTTTGTGGGTTTGTGGGTTTGTGGGTTTGTGGGTTTGTGCGTTTGTGCGTTTGCGCGTTTGTGCGTTTGTGCGTTTGTGCGTTCGCGCGTTTGTGCGTTTGTGCGTTTGCGCGTGTGCGCGTTTGCGCGTTTGCGCGTTTGCGCGTTTGCGCGTTTGCGCGTTTGCGCGTTTGCGCGTTTGCGCGTTTGCGCGTTTGCACGTTTGCGCGTTTGTGCGTTTGTGCGTTTGTGCGTTTGTGCGTTTCTGCGTTTCTGCGTTTGTGCGTTTCTGCGTTTCTGCGTTTCTGCGTTTCTGCGTTTCTGCGTTTCTGCGTTTGTGCGTTTGTGCGTTTGTACTTTTGCGCGTTTGTGCGTTTGTGTGTTTGTGTGTTTGTGCGTTTGTGTGTTTGTGCGTTTGTGTGTTTGTGTGTGCGCGGAGTGGCAGAATACCCTGCCACCAGGCCTGAGAGCCAGCTCCAGCGCGCCGTCAAGGTGAGCGCCAAGGGCAAGCACGTCAAGTGCAAGATTGACTTGGAGCACTGCCTCTTCTGGGACCCGGCCGGCAACCGCGCGCCGCGCCCGT